AGTAGAGAGACCCTGTCTGCATGTTAGCAATTCATTTGTACTAAAATAATCCATTATTTGATTCAAAATTACCTTCTCCAAAATCTTGCTTTACAATGAAATAAAACCTGCTTTTGTGTCTTTGAGTAGAAGCTTAATTTTGAGTTTCCATAGTTCAGGAAAAGTGCAACTTAAAACTGACCTATTGGAAATATGACAAACAGACTTTGAGAGCTGAATAGCAGAGAGACACTGAACCATCTTCTCAACAGCCTCCTGAGTTGCTGTTATAAAGTTGAAATGGCAGTTTTTACCGTACATTATTTCATCAACTAGTTTACAGCAGTCACTGTCAGTAAAGGTTATGTCAGATCTTAAAATTTGAACTTTATTAGTAAAGAAGTTGTTTAATAATAATATTTTGCTTTTTCATATGGCTTTGTGATAAAGTAATTCCACAAATTTCTGTGATAATTCAAGCTTTTTGCACAATAATTTCGTAAATATTTTGCACACATTTTTTGCTATCATTAATAGAGTGAAGGATTTTCTGTTTAGAATAATCCCACTTTCTGCTGTGGGCTCGTTTTATTGCTTTTCAACAAGCAGAAAGTTTTCCTGTCTTCAGAACACCCTGAGTTTTGTGCAACTGCTTTGGCCTTGTCCCCCTGGAACATCAGAGATCTCACCTCGCTCTCCAACCGTGGTGCACTGTTACTTTTTAAAGGACCTTTTTCTAAGAGGTGCATCATTAATAACCAATCTGATTGATTTATCCATAAAAAGTATTTAAAGCAACCTTTACATTCTGCTCCTCACAAACCTTTTCCTTTGTTCAGAGCTTTAGAATATGAGTAAATCTGTGTATTAAAAAGAAATAAATGACCAGAGGAGTGAGAGCCTATCTCCTGATTTGGGTGATTTACTGTTTATCAATAAAACATTTAGAATGTGATCACTGCACCCCACTTTTGAAAGTATTTGTGAAAAAAGCTCTGGAATACCACAGCGTGAGGTATTCTTGCCATTTGTGCCAAAGGAATTTCTAGTAATCTGTGTGATTATTTGGGTAAAATTACAAACAGTAGCCTTAGAAAACAGTTGTTTTGTTAAAATGACAATGTTTAGAAAGCCAGTCTATATTAAAATCCCTTTAAAAAATTGTTATTTTCCCCAGACCCTTATTTATTTAAATAGCATACTTGAGAGCTGAGGGTTCAGTAACAGATAAAGTAAATATTTATATATTAATATGTTCGGGTTTATTAAAATGCTCATTCTTTTCTTTCCTTTTGATCATTAGGTGCACTTAGGGTTATTCATTTTTTTTAAAAGTTCATCTTTGGTCCCAATGAACAGCTTGTCATACCTTAGCCGTCCTCTTTCTCCCTTTTCCCTCCCAGCTTTTATCAGAGGCTAATAACCCGTCATCCTTGGTTCTGCTTCTGCCCCATCAGAACTGCTTCTTGGTTTGTTTTTTAATGCTTTAGTTTTTGGGGATATTGATTTCATAGAACTTGACAATAAAAAAAAATAAAAAGACCAAAAATACCTACAAAAATAAGCACAAATAAATTTAAGAAACACAATAAAAGGAAAGTGGAAAGATCCTTGAAATGAACTAATGAAATAAGAACTGATATAGTTAACAACAGTAAACCGTCCAGTCTGTGGTTCAGAGGAACGATTCTCTGCCTGGTTCCTTGGAGCAGCTGGGTTGAACGGGTCCTGGTCCACAGAAGTGAAGTGCAGTAGAGGACGTTAGTCGATCGATCCGTCTCATTCAGCAATTACTTCCCAACTGAGTAGACTGCATTATCTGCCAGTCAATAAACCAGCCTGAATTGTTATGTGCTTTCCTCTTAAGGAGGTTCTACTCAGTGGTGGAAAGTAACAAAGTATATTTACTTGATTACTCTACTTAAGTACTTTTTTTTTAGTATCTTTAATTTAACTGAGTAATTTTATGATGAGGTACTTCTAACTTTCACTCTACTACATTTCAAGGTCAATTATTGTACTTTCTACTGCCCTCCATTTCCAGGAAACTGATAGTTCCTTTTGGTTCAGTTTAGCTTTGTAATCCGCTGTTGCTGTTTTTCTTTCTTGAAATGCTATTTCAACATGGCAGAGAGCAGCTCTAAAATTCCACAAACGCAAGAAACTCGGGGCTGATATTATTTGTAGTTTATACATTTTATTACGGCCTTACTTGTTGCCATGTGGCCAAGTTGCTCAGGATGAGTCTCAAAGCAGAGTTTGCTTTATCTTTGTGGTAATATCAACCTTAAGCTCTATTCCACAGAGAAAGTGCAAAGAAAAATCAAAACTCCAGTTTTCTTTTTGGTTTGTTTTAAAATAACAAACAATAATCAAAATAGCTGTCCTTATTTTTTGAGGCATTTTTATACTGAAGTTCTTTCCAGGTGGTGTAGAATCTGTAGCAGGTGGTTCTACACATCAATACATCAGGTGGTTTCTGTAAGTTACAGGTTCTTTAAAATTACTCTCAAAATTGAGAGTAATTTTACTAATATTGTACTAATATTGGAAAATTTTATTTGTATTTTTGAATACTTAAGTACGTTTAAATGCATGCACTTTTGAATACTTAAGTACGTTTAAATGCATGCACTTTTGAATACTTAAGTATTTTCAAAGTGAGTACTTAAATGCTTTAACTTGAGCAGATGTTTGACTGGGTATTTCTTTTTCTTGAAGCTGAGTAAGTTTTGACTATGAGTATCAATACTTTCACTCAAGTATGACTGTTGAGTACTTCGTCCACCACTGGTTGTACCAAATACTGAACTTAACTTAGGTTCAGTATTTGGTAAACCAGTACTTTGTCATTTTATTAGACACAGAGTGTATACAAAAAGAAATTCCGTTCAGCACAGCTCTCAAGACATTTTTTAAAGTGCAGCAGTGATAAAAGCTAAGCACTAGTGATGAATGTAAACATATGACTATATGAGTGTGAGGGATTTGCACAAACCAGCCAGAAAACCACTGAAATCTTAAAAAAAAAAAAAAGTCTTAATTTATTCCCAAAATGTTCAAAAAAAAGATAAACTGGGCCCAAAAACAGAGGTCAACAAAACAGAATTCAATTCAGGCTTTAACATAAAGAACTCAAGCACAAACTGACCTAACAAACAGGACATGAGGGAAACTTAAATGGTGGCTGATCAGACCTCTGTTGACACACAAGGGGAGTAACTGACAAACTAATAAACGTAATTAAACAGATAAACACTGGCCAGACACTAAATACGCTAAAATTTTAAATTTAACTAATTAACAAAATTACCCAAACAAAGAATATTTAAACAAATGATAAACAAATATCCCTTCCCATTACAAATGGCTTGACCCACTGATTAGCCTGCAACAGCCAATTGAGGAAAGCTGGAGCTCATTGCAGCCCTCCACCAGCAGATCCCAAGGAAACTGGACTCTCAAAGAAAAAAAGAAATGAATCAATTGCATTTTGACAAAAAAAAAATCCAACAACCTGACAAATAAAGTTAACTAAATTTGTGTACTGCAAAAAGCTACCGGTAACTTAAAGTCAAGCTAATGAAAATATATGAAATGTGCAACTGATTTTGAAAATGAAAAATGTAAAAGTTATCACACAGCTTCAGAGTGTAACAGCAGGCTGTAACAATGAGTTACAGTTTACAACATTCAGTTTTTTTTTTTTATAACCCTATTTTATGCAACATTCAGCAGCAGCTTTGATTTTAGTTTTTTTCCCCAGCTTTTTTTTTTTTTTTTGGTCATTACGCTGTCACAATTACAGAACAACAAAATTTATTCTCTGCATTTAACTCTTCTCCATGGGGAGAAGTGGGCTGCCATTGTGCGGCACCTGGGGAGCAATGTGGGATTAATGGTGTTTTTGCTCAGGGACCCAGCCATCAACACCATCCCAGCCCATTAATTAAACTGCTGGATTTCTGTATATGTGTGTTGCTAATTTTCCCTCATTGTACAATCACTTAATCTATTTTTGTTTGTTTTCATTTATTCAAATTATTTTATTTAGATTCCACCCATTTTATTAATGCATTGTCCTTAGATTGTATTATATTATACAAAACTATATTCTATTATTTAATAACAACCTCGTTTTTCTGCCAAATTATCCTTAAAATTTCTCCAAAGTCTTTTCTAAGCTTTAGAAAACTCCATAAAACATGAATGCCATGTGTTTACGAGTTCAAATAAATTAAATCAAACTTTTATTACACCGACATGACAAAAAGACAAAGTACTTCACTGACTTAAAAACTGATGGACAAAAAACAAGCAGTAATGTAATAGAAAAAAAACTATAAGTAAAAAAAAGTAGTCAATCCGTTTTAAAGAGAAATAAGGAAACAAGATCAGAAAGAGAACGCATTAAATAAATATTGAAAATGATCTTTCATTTAGTTTAGCAAAAAACATAAAATTCAAGATATTTGTAAGTAAATCTTCAATGATTATAAATAAGCTACCGTTATTTTAAAAGCGATAATTGGGCTAAAATTATGAATGACTATATTTGAAATGAAGTTGTTAAAAATATAAATATATTTGGACTCTATGGAAATTATCTTATCTTTTCTGCACTGCTGAGCTTGTGTTCTATGTTATGTTGCTGTTATTAAACAAAAATTAATAAACATATCTACAAAAAATATATTATTTTATATTTACAAGAAGTGTTATTTATTTAAAGTGAGTTTAATCTCTAAAAGTGAAATTGGATGGATTTATACTACTCTATAATGAACATCTAAACATCATGACCTACTTCAGATGTTTGGTTCTTTACTATTTTACTTTGTAACGTTAATTCAAAACGCTGTAAATTGTTAAATATGTAAACCCGAGATAAAATGAACTGAGGCGCGTTAAGGTTCACGGAGTTTTGGCTTGCCATATCGGAACGCTCGCATCGCGATGCGTTTACGAGCGTCGTTAATCCCAGCTTCTCCTCGGACCGCAGCAGGGGGAGCGCAAAGACCCCCTCCTCCAGCAGCAGCAGCATCCATTAAAGGTCCCCGCATCTCCTCTTCCCTTTTCTCGGACCATCTTCTCCTCCTGTAAGATGCCCGTAAGCGGCGAGGGCTTGTCGGGAGGAGCCGAGGCCAGAGGACGGCATCTCCGCGTATATTTTCGAGTGTGACAGGAAGGCAGCGGAGCGACAATGGATGTGGTTCGGAGGAGACAAATGAAATTCTGATTTTCTCCGGGATTAGCTGGCTAAAGCTAGCCCGGCTAGCTACCCCTTAGCTCGGTGGCTGTTTTCTCCTCTCCCCGCTCTGGTCGCTGTATTGTTTCCCCTTCAATATAAAACATTCCTTAATGCGTTTTTTTTATTGACGTGAAGACATGTTGGAGTCATTCCCGTCAAGGAGAAACCATCCTAACGGGTTTCTAGCCTCCCAACGGCTCCGCTAGTTAGCCGCGAGCATCAATAACCTTCATTTTTTTCCCTCCCCTATTTTCTATCCTTTATCTTTTCTATATTTTTCCTCTGGTTTATCCGTGGAGATGCTGGTAGAGATGGAGTGTGCCTGACGGTGGAGCCGCTCCATGAAGGTCATGATAGTGAAAGAATGATCATGCTGGAAAAACAGGTAAGAAAGCAGCAGAGCATCAAGTCAGCGGGTTCATATTTAAATCCTCATCTGGATCATTTGCATATTTACACACATGCTTTGCTGATAAAGGCTGTAAAAAATAAAACAGCCTGATCACATTTTAGATTGTTACGGGTTTGATTTAGTAGGATCTTTGTCTAAAGCTTTCCAGACATTATACTGAAAAAGAGACATTTGGTCCCTCCCATGTGTTTGCCTTTAATACCTCTAATATAAAAAAAAAGATAAACACGTTTATAGGTTAATGTAATCATCAATTAGCCATTTTTTTTTTACAGATGGTGATCATTAATAAATGGGCAAAATTAATATTTTTTTTTCTACAGGTCAGGTTTTTAAGGTTGTTTCAGATTGGATTGTGGTTTTATTCTGTCGGGGATTTAAAGTATGTAGGTTGGTGAGTTTCTGTGTTGTCTGCTGAGGCGAAAAGAGAAGCTCTTGATTTACCAAATCTAGATCCTCATCAGAGGTCATCAGATATGGATCCTGACCAAAAGAGGGAGAATTTTTAATGCAAGTGGTGCAACTGAGGGTCCTCTGCTAAGAGGACAATGGGGTGAGGCATTGGTGTGCACAGACTTTTTGAAGTGTTTGGGGTGAAAAGAAAAGAATGTCACATATAGAGCACCCTCACCACTGTAGGGGTAAGTTGGCTCCTAAGAGCGCAATTTAGCATTTGGTTTTTTAACAATTAGCTGCTTCTGCTGCTTCAGTGGAAGAGTCAGCATGTCTATGATCTGATTTTAGATGAGGGGAGATAATAAATGGATGGATCTGGATCCCAGGAACAGGTAACTGAGGCCACGTTCACACTGCAGCCTGAAGTGATCCAAATCCACATAGTTTGCCCATATGTGACCTAAATCTGATCTTTTCATGGCAGTCTGAACAACACAAATCCGATTTCTTCCAATGCAACCCAGGCCACTTGGCTATGTGGTCCTGAATCCGATACGAATCTGATCTTTTCTAATGCGACCTGAACGGCCAGATCGCATTCATCCGACCTGAACGCCATTAGTAGCTGACAAAGGTCACTATTATGCATCTTGCTACACAAAGGCAGCAAGAAAAACAACAACTCTGGCAGACAATGATGCGGATAGGAGTATTTATGTTTAACCATATTGTTGGGAAAGATCACTATACATGCTCCAGCACTACCATCTATGTTTACTTCCATAAACACAGAGCAGGCTGGCCTGTGATGTCATTATGTCCTCTACTAGGATAGGAATGCAGTTCACGCAGGAGATCACATACAATCGCATGTATTCTGAAATATGAACTGCAACGCAAAAAAAATGTGATTTCACAAAAAAAATCTGAATTGATCATTAAGGCCTGCAGTGTGAACGTAGCCTAAATGGTTCTCTTCCTTGTCTAGTTCTGGGAACATTTAATGAATTGGGTTCTGGTGACCCGAAGGGTATGATTAATCCCTGATAAATAAAATGTTAGAATCAATCTTTATATTAGTAGGAAGCTTCTGCAGTGAGTTAAAGGTATAGTGGAGGATGTTGTTTTTCCGGGTGGATCATCTAAATAAATGGTCCTCCTAATTGTCAATCATTCTGGTGATATGTTTATGTAATGCCGTCCTAAGTGCTCATCCCCATTTTCACTTACCGGTGGTGAGTCTGACATAGTAGAAAAATCTTTTGGAATTTAAGCTTGTACGAGCAATGCACCAGCAACTTTTAAACAGAGCGTGCACGTAGAAAAATGGGCTCGTGCATGCTCTTTAAGTTAGTATAGTTTGTCTCTTCCTCTGATGGTTCTGATGTCCTCCAGCTGGTGCAGCTCAGGACCTCCTCACTGTGGAGAGGAGGCGTAGCTCCATTCCTCTCAGCACAAACAAAAGGAAACTCATGCTTTAAAGGACGTGTGGTTGTGTCGGTTTTATTTATTTAGGGAAACATTTTGTTAATTAGTCGTGGGGTCGCTCTTCTGGAATAAGACCCGTCTCGGTGACGGTGAAAACTGATGCAGCCGTGCTCCTGTTTTGCTCCAGGGAAAGCAATTCCTACCTGGGATGTGTTTGTGTGTTTCTCTGGGTGTTGGATATTTTGGTGTGTAGCTGCCCTGATGCATCCTGGGATATATTTCAGCCTGTATATCAGATTAGATACAAAGCATGAGGAAAATGAGTTGAGACCCTACAGAGGGATTTCAGATTCTCTGCTCTGTGTGGATGAACGTCGATCCCTCTGGTGCTGATGAATATCTTACATGTTTATTTATTCTAATTTGAAATTAATTTCCATATTTTTCTCCATTTTTGAATAACAACAGACTGCGATTGAGCTGACTGACAAAATCAAAATAATTAGTGATGAATGGTTAATGTGTTTTAGTTGTTTTTTTGTGCGGTCTGAGACAGAAATGTAATATTTCTGCAGACTTTGGAATGAAAAACAACCTTTATTTTAACCTTAAACCCTGAAGGTGTAATTTCACCAAACTGTGAAGGTTCTTTTAATGTCGTGATGCTTGTTTCAGAGCATGCAGACAGTCTGTGAGTGGATGTGTAATGATGCAGTCATCTTTGGAGGAAGTCCTAATGTTTGAGTCTCTGCTGTGCAGTAGAAAAGCTGATTGTTCTCAGCTGAATGAATCGAACTGCAGGCTTCTCACTCAGTCTGGAAGAATGTTTATTTTATCTGAAGCTCTGAGGCCTGTTTCGCTCAAGCAGATTATAGAAATCCAGGATGAGAGATTAAGCCAGGCTTGACTTATCGGGATCAGTGCATCCTGGCTTTATTCGTTTCACAAAGGCCATGTTAGGCGCAACAAGTGCAGCCATCAATAATCCAGATAAAAGAACATCCACAGCTTTCCTTTAAAAGACAGCAACACTAAATAGAATAAAACACACATTTCTAACCACTTTCAAACTGGAAACGTAATAATTTAAGGATTTACTTTTCATTTTCTCAAACAAACAATTCAGTCCCACTTTGGTTAAAGTCTTTGACCTGAATGTGGGGGATTCAGGGTTGAATCCTTCTAATTTCCAGAATGACATCTGACATGAAAACCATCAAACATCTTTAATGACTGATCTTTTTCTGTCGTTACACCTTCTTATAAATATTCATACTGAAACTATGATAAGAATCACCTTCATCTGGACCAGAGAGGCATTTTATTTTAATGTCTATGCGGTCCAAACAGTTAAGGGATACCATTAAAAAAAAAAAAAAACCTTAAGTTTTTTAATGATGTATAGTCTAATCCCCTGTGCTTTTGTGGAATCCATCCTTTATTTGGTCATTCTTCTGTGAGCAGGAAGGTCATGAAGATGTGGGTATAGTCCTTTCAATGTCGGGTACACATGTCTGATAATGCAGCAAATAGCAGTTCACTAAGATTTTCAGCGTCTCATTTAGAGGTCATCTATGTTACAATCAAGGCGTGGTTCTTTTTGCACCCAGCACACACGGAGTTTATTATCAGGAAAAATTCAAAAAAGCATTATAAAGGAAGACGGATGTTTGGAGCCTAATCTGTGCATTTGTACATTTATTCGGTAGTATAATAGTCGACAGGTACCCTGAAGATTACGCCATTTACACATATTTAAAAAATAAGTTATATTTATTTCAGGAGAATAATATCCAATAATGTGTGATAAGCGTTCCATCTAAGACATTTAACTCTTGCCTTTTTTTTTCTCCAACAAACCTCTTGTTCTATGATGTTTAACCTTGGAGGTAAACTGGAATAATACGGATTGATCTGTATAGTTTAATTTGAATTTTATACGTTATTTAGCTGGAAAGGCTCCTGTAGAAGGTGTTTATAAAAGGGAGGGACATTCTGTAAAATTCTTTGAATTGATGGCTAATTAAGTGGAACCTGCCTCCCATGTCAAGCTTCTAGCCAATCACAGCAGCATTAGCAGCTGCCACGATTTGTTTCACAAATCAGGAATAAACTAACTGATAAACCAAACTTTTACCAAATCCGCTTGGGTGGAACGAGCTGATATCTTTCCCATCCATAAAGGCATAAATAATCTCCCTTTGCTCATTTTTCAAAAATGAAAATTCCAAATAAAATAAGGGAGCAGCCATCTTTGTTTTGCTTCTGCTGGATGCTTCTGGTTAACGTTATAAATGTTGTTGCATTTCGTTGGTTCAAAACATTTCTGTATTCCTCCTCATGCATCTGTTGGCTTCTGGAAAGATGTATTTCAGGGGTTTGTGAATTCACAAATTTCACAATAATTCATCTTGCTTGTTAAGTAACCTTGGAAAAAGCTAATCCAGTAAAAGTGTTTCTAAGCAGCAGGCTCTAATGTTAACTATGATTTTGTGTAAATTAGCGAAATCCAGGTTTATTCTGCTTAACTTGTTCTGGATGTCACTGAATGAGACTCTTTAGTCAGTGAAGAATGGAGTAAACATGATGAAACTGTGTTAGAGGTCAGTGCTGGGTCTTTGTTAGACTTCGCAGCGTTTCGCTCAGCTTCCAGCCTTTCATTCTCCTCCCGTCCCTTCTGTGTAAATCCTGCTTCCTGTCGCTGCTCTTACTGATATTTATCTCCTCCCAAAATGTTTCTTTGTCGGCCTTTTTCCAGTTATTGTGGGATTTGGAGATTAAAATGTGTCTCTGTTTCCTTCTGATGCATTCGGACCTTGGTTCCGAGCATCTCTGACCCTCTTTGTTTGATGGAATGTGATATTTTCTTTCTTCCTCAGGGTTTCTCCGTCTGCTTTGGTTTGATACATTAGTTCTGTGTGTCGATAGGAAAGGCTCGTCCTTGAAGTGCGCTGCCTGAAGGAGGACTCTGAGAGCAGGAGCGGAGTGCTGGTCCTTTTCTGGCTGTTTGGCTGGAAAACACAAACGTTCTTTCTAAGGAGATTTGTTTTATTCACTTTCTGTAACGCTTTATGGTTCAGTTTGATGCCAGCTGATACCTGGTCTCTCAAATTTCAATTCTCAGTAGGATTTAGGTCGTTTTCATCTCT